AACTTTGTGGCAGATGCTAACTGTTCACATGTAGACCTGGGAACACAGAGACAGAGCCAGGAAATTTTTAGAGATAACAGATCCCCAAGAATTCACTCCAAGAGATAGATTTCTTTCCTACAGCTAGGCACACCTTCCAAGGTTCAAAAACCTTGCAAAATAACACAACCAGCAGGGGACCAAATATTCAAAGCACCAGACTTTGTGGGACATATCAGAGTAAACCATAACACATGTGAAAGTGACTCGCCGAGAGTTAAAACTGACTAGAATAAGCTCCATGAAATAATGGAAAAGATTCCAAGAGGCTATAGGCCCATCCTTTGAGGCAAACTCCATTATCCCCTGCTTCTGAAAGTAATGCCCTCATACAGTTCACTCCCAAAATCAGGGCTAGCCTGGTGCTACCAAGAGGATTAAGACAAAAGCTAGACAGTGTGTGACTTCTAAAACTAGGTCAGTAGAAGGCATTGCATCTTCTATCTTGCTCTGGGGAGCCAGACATTAGGCTGTGGGGCTACCCAGCAACCCTGTGAAGAGGTCTGTAGAGGAGGAACAGAGGGCCTTGCTCCACCTGCCAGTCATGTTAGGGGATCGTTTGAAGTCAATAAAGCCTTCAGATGGCTGCAGCCCCAGCTGATGGCAAACTTGGGCACTTCTAGCCTGAATTCCCTGCTAAGCAGAGACCCCAGGTTTAAGGGGATGGTGGTTGGTTACTGATGTTCCAGCCCAATGAGTTTAGAGATGATTTCTTACACTGAAAGAGATAAATAATACAGAGATACCTTTGAAAAGGGCACCAGACAATAAACATACAGAGAGGCAGAAAGGCATTGAAATTAGCAATTCAGCACTTGTGCTGGCTCAGGTATGACTATTCATGTAGGCATCCTAATTAAAATACTTATAAATTTGATCAAACAATGCATTAAAATAACAAAACATTGTTACATGGATTTTGATTAAATTTATCCACAGCCAAATTTACCACTATAATCTATTTTATTACATTAGCATATTCAGAAGGCAGACTTGATAATTGTCTCAACCAATGCTTCAAAATCACTTGATACTGGGTTGCCTAGATGTTCTAGCTGATTCTGTTCTTTAAATACAAAAGAGTGGCAGGAGAGCAGTTGTCACAGCACATTAGGACATGTCACAGAGTCCACAACATTCATTTATCTCAAACTAGAAATGTCTGGTTGCCTGGACAGACATTAACATCAGTCTGTGGAAATGGACAGACAACAGTTCAACCACAGACAAATAGAAACCACTAGCCTGGCTTGATGGCACTAGTGAGAGTGGAATAGGAGACTCAGGAGTTTAGGGTCATCACCGGCTATGTGGTGAATTCCAGGCAAGGCCTGAATCCCTTGCCCACATGAGACTCTCTTCAAAATCAAAACACAGAAACCACCAACCATCACCACTGTGGTGGTTTGGATGTGAAATGTCCTTTATAGACCATGTGGCTGCACACTTGATCAGCTGGTAGTGATTTGTGCAGGCTGTTGAACCTTTACAAGTGGAGCTGCACTGGAGGAGGTGAGCCACTGGGGGAGAGCCTTGGGGCTTTATACCTGCTCTCACTTCCTGCTTTCTTTCTGCTTCCTTAGTATGGGCGTTGTGTGACCACTCAGATGACCACCATGCCTTCTCTGACTGCTACCACATCTTCATTCACATGAAAGACTGTACCCCCTTGAAGCTGTAAGACAATGTAAGCTTTTTCTGAAGGGGATGCACTCGGTGTGTATTAGTTACCTGTCTGGTTGCTGTGATAAAATACCCCCAGGAAAGCTCACAGTTCATGAAAGGGAAGGTATGCATATGGCTGGGAACTTGTAGTCACATCACATCTACGCTCAGGAAGCAGAGTGATGCATGCTGGTACTTAGTCACATTCTTCTGCATATTCAGTCTGGCATTAGGTTGGGTCTTCCCCTCAGTTAACCTAATTTAACAATCCCTCACAGATACCACCAGAAGCTTGTTTCTAGACCTTGTCAAAATGACGAGGAGGGTTAGCCATCACACACAGGGGGATGAGGTATGTGTGATTTATACATGATGCTCAAAAAGTGCCCCCTCCCCATGATTCTGAGCTCCTCCCACATAGATCAAGAAGCCCCAGATTTCAGAAACTGTAAAATCACCAGGCTCCAGGAAAGAAATGTCAGGTTGGTTTATAAAGCTGTGGGGGGAAGAAGAGTCTTATTTCTCGTGGTTCACACTTGGAAGCAGGAGACCTTGGTTCATCCTTAGTTTCCTTTGTCTTCAAAGAGAACTCAGAGCAAACTAGCTCTTTGTCTTCTCTATCATTAGAAAAAAGGATGTTAAAATAAAAGATGTCAAGTATAGGTGCTCACATCTCCAAGTCAACAGTGTAATAAAGTACTTTTAAAGGGCTACTGTAGGATCTGGAGAGCACAATGGTCAAGAGTTGCTCCCCCAGAGTACCAGGTTCAGTTCGCAGCATCCAAATGGTGGCTCAAAACAATACGTAACTCCAGTCCCGGGGAGATCTGATAGCCTCTTTTGACCTCTGTGGACACTGTATACATGTGTCATACACACTGACAAAACACCCCCACATATTCTTGATGAAAAATAAAATAAAGGGCTAGTGTGTATTGATTTACCTTCTAGATGAGACTGGAGAAAACTCAGGCCAGGGATAGGCGTCATCTCTGTATTTGGAATACTATGAGTTGGACTTCATGTCCAGTCTCCAAAGTGAATTCACTGTGGGCCTGCTTCTTCGGGGCACTGGCAAATATATGTAGAGATAACTTCCAAACAAAAATATTGAATTTTTTTGGTCTGGTAAAGTTTTCTCACTCATGAATTATTAATCACAATATCTAAAAATATTTTTCACCCAAGAGCCCCAAAGCACTAAACAATATAATTCTGCTTTCTCTTCAGACTGGCCTGTCTTAGTGGTTAAAGAACAGTCAGTCAGTAGATTGACTACTTACTCCTCACATACAGAAGCAAAGGCATTGCCGCCTATCACCATAGAAAACTTGATGATGGTATTTGAAAACACAATGATGGTCAAAACATTTTCAAAGAAAACTTTCTGAAAGATGGATGTCCAGGTATCATTCAGTTCTGGTGAAAATGTAGATCAATGGTCTGTTCCTATTGGGGGAGGCAAAGGTGATTATGTTCTTTGGTCTTTGTGAGATTTATTATATTTTCATCTATAGGGTGCTTTGAGTCTTTTGAAACTTTAAATATGCTACTTGCAGTGGTTTGAATGAGAATGTACCCCAAAAGGCTTGGATGTTTAAATAGTTGGTCCCTAGTTGGTATAGCTATTTGGGATGCTTGGGAGCTGTGGCTTTGCTGTAGTAAATATGTCACTGGGGGTGGACTTGGACAATTCTCTTTCTTTTTATGTCCTGCTTGTCAGAGGCAGCTCTTCCTGCTGCCACAATACCCTGCCATGGTGGACATTCTCCCTCTGGAACCATAAAACCAAATAAACTCTCTACAAATTGCCTTGTTCATGGTGTTTTTTCATAGCAATGCTTTAAAATGCACCTTTAGGATTTTTTTTTTTTTTTTTTTGTTCTTGAGACAGAGTCTTTCTACATATGCTTGGCTGTCCTGGAACTCACAGAGATCTGCCTCCCTAGTGCAGGGAATAAAGCCATGAGCCACCACACCTGGCCATTTTGTTTTTCTGAAATAGGGTCTCACTATGTTGTCTTAGCTGGCCTGGACTTTACTGGGTAGACCAGATGACCTCAGACTTGCTGTGATCCTACCTCTGTCTCTGGAAAGCTGGGCTTATAGGCATGTGCCACCACACCAGGCTAGATGACCTTCAAGTCACAGAGCATTTTCAACCTCATGTTGTTTACCAAGAAGTGCCAGAGAAAAAAGAAGCTGGTTGTTCAGCAAAAAGTTCTAGATTACAGAAAAATGAGAGGAAGTGCTGAGAATAAATAGTACATAGTTTTTACCTTTTTCTTTTTAATGTGGGAAGGAAGTTTTGGTGGGTGAAAGGGAGTGGAGAAAGGAAAGGGAGAGAGGGGAGAGAGAAGAAAGATAGGAAGAGAGAGACAGAGTCCTCCCTCTCTCTCCTTTTTCAGTCTAGAAATCCTCAGTGTTCTACCACTGAGCTAGGTCTAACCTCAACTTGCTATGTAACCAAGGATGACCTCGAAGTCCAGACCCTTCTGTCTCCAATTACTAGTGCTGGAAATACCACACCTGGTCTTAGAACCTATTTTTAAACAATCAGGAAATAATAGTAAAAAAGACAGAACAGATTTCAAGAGTCTTACTGACATTTATATTACTAAGGTCAGAACCCTTGTGAATGTTTGAATGAGAATGGCCTTCATATGCTTATATATTTACATGCTCAGGCCCCAGTTGGTGAACTGTTTGGGAAGGATTAGAATGTGTGGCCATGTTGTAATAAATGTGTCCTTGTTGGAGGTGGTGTGTCACAGCAGGGGGCTGGATTTTGAGGTTTCAAAAGCCTACTCCTGGCTCAGTGTGTCTAGCCTCTGTGTGCCTAATGTTTGCAGATTAGGATGTAAAGCTCACCATCACTGCTCCAGCATCCTGTCTGCCTGGTGATATCTTGCTTGTACAAATAAAGCCCGAGTTTGGTTGTATTAAAGACACATAGGACATGTCTTTATAATGGCCTTGGCTTGTTGCCAAGTAATGGAAAAGTCTTTTTAAAAACCTTTGCTATTGACATGGTGAAATTATGAGGCCTTTAGCACATTGCCTGTCAGTGGTTGATCAATTTCATCATTGCCTTGTGCTAGAGGGCCTGGCAGACCTATATGGGATCAGATGCATGATAGATATATATATATATATATATATATATATATATATATATATATATATTGGATGATTCCTGTTCTTGATTATGTGTTGTAACTGAATAAATAATAAAGTCAATTCTGTATCATCTGGTAAAAATTCAGTGGTTTCAAAATATAAAACAACTCTTTCTGGTGCTTGATTCAGCAGCACATATAATAAAATTAGAATGATACATAAAAGATTAGTATGGCCCCTGCACAAGAATGACACACAAATTTATGAAGCATTTCATATTTTTTAAAGAAAATAAACATTTCTGATATTAATGCTAAAAAACCCCACAACTCTTTCTGCATATTGTAAATAAGTAACTATGCTGAGAGGTTCTTTATGATCCATTAACAATACTCCCCACCATGATGATAATAGTTAAACCTTTAAAACTGTAGGCAAGCCCCCAGTTAAGTGTTTTCTTTGATAGCAATTGCTTTGGTTGTGGTGTCTCTAAATAGCAATAGAACAGTAACTAAGACAAACCCTAATAGAAGGATTATTTTGTTTGAGGAAATAAAAACTTTTTCTCCCCAGAGATCTGCTTTACTCTTAATGGGAAAGATTGAGATAGGAGGTCTAAACTGAATTGAACATAAAACTACTGAGGACTTTCTTTTTTTTTTTTTTCTTCTTCTTCTTCTAGAAATATCCTATGGCTGGGAGAATCAACCTGAGCATATGAAAGAAAGGTTTCAGAGTATGTACTGAGTGTTAACTTATTGCTTACCCCAACCCACACAGTTGGGGCTGATTGCCAGGGGCTAGCACACCTGAGGTGGCTTATCCATGACACATGGTTGCATAAGGGAAGGAAAGATGGCCAATAAAAGCCAGAGTGACATTGCCAGAAAAATGAGAAACAGAGCACGTGGATGGTAAAATATAGCCAGCCACAAAACTCTGAATTGTGCTGAGGCTAGAGAACACAATGGCTAGTTGGAATTGTCAACTTGATAAAATCTAGAACCACCTAGATTATGAGGAAGTCTCAATGGTTGATGAATAAAACACTGTCTTGCCAATGAGGCAGGAAGATAGGAGGGACTAGGATGAGGGGAATTCTGGGAAAGGTAGGCAGAGAGGGCCCGCCAAAACAGTTGCCATGTGAGCTGCCAAGAGAGTTAGAGGTCTGGACCCTTCTCCGGTAAGATAAGACCATGTGGAAATACTTAGATTGGTAGAAATGGGTTAATAATTAAGACAGAGCTAGCCAATAAGAAGCCCTAGCCATTGGCCAACAGTTTCATAACTAATATAGTGTCTGTGTGTTTATTTGGGGTCAAACAGCTGCAGGAATCTCCAGCAACAGGAAACTCTCTGGATCAGGTTGGCCTTTGGTGTGTCTGTGCCGGACTATCTTTAGTATGTTGATATGGGAAGACCCACTCACTATGGGCGCCACCATTCCCTAGGCAGGGAACACAGGAAGTGAGTAGAGCACTAGCTTGTGTAGCTCTTCTGATTGTGGAGGAAATTTGATCAAATTCCTCAACTCCTACATCTGTAACTTCTCTGATATGATGAACTGTTACCTGAAATTGGAGCTGAAATAACCTCTTAATCCCCTATACTGCCTTTGTCTGGGTTCTTAAACACAGCAACAAGAAATGAAACTGAGCCACTGGAGGAGGACAGCATTAATGCAAAAGGCTTTATCACCATAGCATATGAAGTATAGGATTTGGCACACAATGGACAAATGAGAAACTTTGTAATAGTATATTCTAGCCATCCATTTTGTCACTGTAACTGTAATTTTATCTTAACGAGAGGGTTGACAAAAGGGCACCAGTACATTGAAAATTCTATGTCAAATAATAAGCATTTTTCTTGGTTCCTTAGCACTTTATGTTTACTTTTGTTTGCTTTGAGACAGCATCAGGCTGGTCTTCACCTTGCCAAAGCTGACCTTGAACTCCTGTTCTTCCTGCCACCAGGAGGAACTACAGGTGTGTGCTACCATGCCTGGAGTGTGTCCTCTTCCTTTCCTTTCTCATCCCTGTTTTCTTACTCTCTTTATTGTGGGTGTGTTCATGTACATGATTGCAGGTGCATGGATGCTACTGTACACTAGGGATGTCACACGATAATCTCATGTCCTTGCCCTCTGCCTTGAGACAGGGTCTTCTGTCATTTACCGTAGTGTATGCCAGGGCCCATCAGCATCTAGAGATTCTCCTATCTTTGCTTCCCATCTTGTATGGGTGCTGGGATTTCAAATGAGTGATATTGTGTCTGGCTTTATGTGGGATCTAGAGCTGGAAATTCAGGTCCTGATTGTATAGTAAGCACATTCCCCATCCCCACTGAGCTATCTCTTGGGCTCTCCTTACTGTTTTTTTTTTTTTTAACCTTTGTATTTATTTTTATTTACATTATCCTGGCAGGGTGCCTTTAAAAAATGTCTTCCCACATGAAGGGTAAATATGTTAGAGGAAGCACAAAGAACTTTCTATCTCTGTGTACAGGGTTCTTTTAAAATCTCTTGCTTTTATACCTTTCCCTACTTTTTTGAGTTTCAAATGTGGCAAGAAAGCAACTGTAGAGAAAAGTTAACCTGCACCTAGTTACCATGGGAGAAGACTCTATGAAATTAGATTCATATGTTGGTAGACTTTAAGATGGGAAAACGGGATGTTTGGTACATGTGTTATTTCCTTCTGCAATGGCATAGCTTCCCCAGCATTTCTCGGCCCTGCGTCTTCCCTGCTCACAGTGTTGCCCGTATTACAAGACACAACAATGTGGTTCCAGTTCTATGGACAGAATTCTCCCTGATGGTACTTTGCAGACATCAGAGTTCAAGGCAGGTTGAATGAGGAAGTAACTTTAGCTGGCAGACCTTTCTAGAGATAAAGCCTGGCTGAGATCTCTGCTTGAAGAAGGAATGGTGTCAGACAGGAAGGAATTGGGAAGGACTCCTGTTTGGGAGAGAGACCTTCGAAATTCAAAGAGTCAGGGCATCTGCTTCTCTGGCTAGGAGGTGAGGTCAATACCTATACCTGCAGCAGAGATACAGGGAGGGGGTGATACAGAGGAGGTGCAGGAGTGGTATGGGGGAGGTGCAGGGGGAGGCCAGGCTTCTCTAGTGGTTTCCCAACCATCAGCATCACCTAGGGGAGAGTTTAAGACTCTGCCTCCTGGGTCTGCTCCCTGTGACCAGAGCTGGCTCTGGGATTGGGCAGCAGTGAGTCTGTGCCCAGCACTGTTGAGCACAGGTATTATTTTGAGCCTGCTCCTTATTTGGAATGCTCGTGTTTGAGCTGTCATTTCAGCACAATTCTTATCCATTCAGTCATCCTACTCCTTGGGTCCTGGGCTATTTTCATAGGTGAGGAAGCTGAAACTGAGAATTTAAATAAACTGGCTTATTCAGACTTAAATCTGCTTCTGGAGTCTTCCTAACCCTTGTGTATTATTATTATTATTATTATTATTATTATTATTATTATTATTATTCAAGCTGGATGTGTACAAATGCAGATATACCCAAACTGCAAGTTTTAATATTCCTATTTAGCACCCAGAAAAATCCAGATGAATTCAACTTTTGTTCTGGTTCCATTCTCAAATAAGACACATGCATGCGCGCGCGCGCGCACACACACACACACACACAGAGAAGAGAGAGAGAGAGAGAGAGAGAGACAGAGAGAGAGAGAGAGAGAGTCTTAATACAAATTCTAGGTTGACCTCAAAACATTGACCTTCCTGCCTCAGTCTCTCCTAGGTCTGGGATTATGGGTGTGGGTGACCACAGCCAGTTAAACTGTTCAATTATACTCAACTCTGACATAAATGACACTTTGCCTCATTGAAAACAATAGCTTCCTGCTTTCTACTGACTGGAATGTCTAAGTCTTAGACTGTAAGCCAAGGTCTCCAGGATTTTTGGATATATATGCCTTAGTAACTCTGGGGAACCCTGGCACAATCTTTGTAGACTGAAGTCTGATGGGAAGGGGAGCCATGTTTTTCTCAAAACCATAGTTTTGCATTACCAAAATTAGAAATATTGGCTTATTCTTTAAGTTTTTCTTCCATAGGAAGTCTTTTCACACAAGTAAACTATTTTAATCTCAGAAAACATATTATGCTGTTTGTTCAACAAAACTATTATGGTATGTTCAGACAGGCTTCTGGAAAAGCCAACTCTTGGGAAGTTGGTGGTTTGGAATGCCAGCCCCTACAAAGGATACACTTAGACTATAACACAGACATGGCTTAGCTAATGTTAAAAATAGGAGCCCATCTACATTCACTTATGGTATGCTTCTGTATGCTTCCAGAATCCACCTGCAGCTGACTCCGGTTTCCATCCTGGCTGTAGAAGCCGCACACTCCCTTTCCTAAGGAGACTGGGCTCCTACCTCTGTCAGTGCAGACTCCCTTATTGTGAGTCTGTGTCAGGAGCAATCTCTGTCCTTCCTCATTAAAGGAGCCCTGGGCCCTTTTTGAATAAAGGTTGTTGGTCTTCTCCACACGTGCACCGGGCACAGAGTTAGTATTATTCTGATTAAGGCCCAGCATGAACTCAATAGATTCATAGAACAGGTCAGAGGTGAAGCTGAGTCAAAAATTGGGCCACACATTGATTTTTGATGCTTTCTTTCTTACTTTTCATTAATACACAGATGACTGAGAATACTTCAATCTGAGGAAGGCACTAATTCTTTGTGTGGCTGAACATGCATGTTCACATGTACACGTGTGTAGTATGTGTGCACATGGCAATCTTGAGTCTCTTTTTTAAAATTTTATTTTTAATCTCATGTGCATTGGTGTTTTTGCCCGAATGTGTCTGTATGAGGGTGTCTGGTCCCCTGGAACTGGAGTTACAGTTATACACTGTCATGCGGATACTGGGGATTGAACCTGGGTCCTATGCAAGAACAGCCAGTGCTCTTAATTGCTGAGCCATCTCCCTGGCCGCCGAATCTTGGGTCTCTTAATGCTTTGGTAATCAATGAGTAGGCCAGGCTGGCTGGTCAGTGGGTCCAGGGATCTGTCTCTGCCTCCCCAGTTTTGGGATTGTAAGCATGAGCCACCACACCTAGCTTTTTTGTTTGTTTTAGTGCATGTTTGAAGGACTGAACTCAAGTCCTCATGTTTGTAGGCAATTGCTTCAGAGATGTTTCCCCTAGCAGGCAGTGATGTTGAGGAACCTGAGCATGAATACAGCATTAATGCTAACAGCCCCCTTTTGTTCCCCTTGATTATAATAGTGAGATTGCACTGGAGTTA